GTGCACCTGCGGGGCGCCGAGCTCTGGAAGCGCTTCCACGAAATCGGCACCGAGATGATCATCCCCAAGGCGGGAAGGTAACGGGCTCCGTCCCGGGCTCGGCGGGCACCCAGCGGGGCGGGCGGGCAAATAACGGGGGGGGAAAAAAAAAAACCCCAAACCCCAGATTTACGAGGCAGGTAGATGGCGATAATTTTAGGTGGGCACGGGAGCATGTGGCGTTTCGGGTTTCCTGTTCATTAGGGCGAGTTCTGGGAACGCCGTGTCCTTCTGAGGGGAAACTTCCCCTTTGCAGTGGATACACATGGTGAAAACCTGGGTAGTATAAAAGTATCTGAACTTATTAGAAATTACAAAAACATATTTTATTGAATCCATATGCTACCTTCTACTTTTTCAGAGAGGCTTTATTAATGATTGAAACGCAGTCTTAAACAGCACAAAGCAACATTTGTCTTAAGAGAGTCCAGTCGGGGAATTTCTGTTTTATCTTACAGGTGCACTGAAATAACAGCAAAAACTAGTTAACCGCAGTCAGGTTTACCCTCCTGCTTATTCAGAAATAACGGAGATGGGATTTTTCTTTTGAGTAACGACTTTTAATTGATTTTTCTACATATATTTTTAAGAACAGCAGCAAATAGTGAATAAACTGGAATGGCTTTCAGCTTTATAAAACACAGAAAAGTACCTTTCATTATTTAGCTTGCAGTCAGCTCGTCACTAGGACATTTCTTTCTTTTCTTTTTTTTTTTGGCTTCAAGAATGAACTTTCTCGATAAAAGGTGTGAGCCACGAAATGCATTTTGGTGTTAAAACCACCGCATCAGTTAATTACTCCGTTTTCTCCGCAGAAGGATCTAAATCGTGAACGGGTTGGTGGGTTTTTTTGGTGGTGTTTTTTCTTTTTCTCTCTCTTTTTTTTTTTTTTTCTCTCTCTTTTTTTTTTTTTTTCTCTCTCTTTTTTTTTTTTTTTAGAAATTACCTCAAAGATTCGTTTCTGCTTTCAATAAAGAAGTTTTACTATACCTTTCAAAGACAGAGTAGCTCTTGCACTTCACCTTTAGTAAGCTGCAGACAGGAAGTCCCGTCTCAATAAAGACCATATTGGTGGGTTACAGCATGGCACGTTGGGCTTTTATAACCCCATCCTTGCGGTGTTACAATTGTATCGCCGTGGATTTGGCTTTCTCACTTGCACGCTGCAGAAATGATCCACCATTTGCTGTTGACACAGTGGGAACTGCAGCGGCGATTCGCGTTTCTCTTAAAGTAGGGGTCCTCCTGGCTGGAGGCGGTGTTTGCACATCTCCAGAAATGTATTTCTAGCGAATATCTCAAACGGCTTTAAATGCGTGTCCTGCTAAAGTCAAGTCTCAGACCCGGATGATTTACTGTCTAACAATAAAGTTGAAATGATGTGGTAATAGCTGTACTCCCAAAGCGTATCCCAAAACATACGAAGCATTGTTCGAGGAAATGCACTTTAGAAATCTGTTTTGACATATCGAATGGGCCATTTCATGGCTCTGTAACTGTAATCGTCCGAAAGGACTCTGTAGGCTAAAAGGAAGAACGAGAAAAATCCCACGAACCGGTTACTTTTCCTAAACAACCGTTCCCGAGTCTGTTTCATATTAAAAATGACCTCTCTCTTTCCATGTTCAGGCGGATGTTTCCCGCAATGAGAGTGAAGATCTCAGGTTTAGACCCACATCAGCAGTATTATATCGCTATGGATATCGTGCCAGTGGATAACAAAAGATACAGGTATGGTGACTTTAAGGCAAAAAACATATGATGCAAGCCACAGGGAGCTGGGCTATTGGAAGAAAACATTAACACTATATAAATTAGCAGAAGGTCGTGTTTAGCTCTCCTTCAGATTTCTATTTTCATCCCAGTGCATTTAAAAAAAATAAATGGTGCCAAGTATGCAAAACCAACTAAAATTTCTGTGGCAGCCCTTTATACGGTTGCCTTACATTGTGTATGTACTGTGGGCAGATGCTCAGGTTTTGGCTTTCAGAGAGTGCGGCTTTAGTGCAATCAGGAAACGTTATCATATTTTATTCCTCATCATGTCGGTGGGAATTATTTCCGATTAACAAATAAATATGAAAATGCACATTTTTCTAGTGCTAAATGGCATTAACATTAATTAATAACATCGATAGCATTGATGTCTGATTTAATGGCATGTAAGCTTTCTTGGTCACGCTTCAAATTGATTATATCATTTAATTTTAAAAGCTGTTTATCACTCAGATATTTGTTTGCTTAGATTCACAAAGGGTAATATTTCTAATTACAGTTTTTTAAAGAATTGGTGGCATTGTTGTCTGAGGAATAATGCGAAGAACAAAAGAGTTGTTCTTTGAACATTTAAGAGTAGGAATTATGTGCTGAAGCTCTCACTATGGCAAGGGCAGTTGTGTTTTGAGAGAGCTAGTTGGACTCTGCTGAAACCACTGGTCCTGTAGAAATGTTTGCAAGATCGGGTCCGCAGCAGTTAACTATTGTGAGTTGTAGACATTTTGTAGGTCTTGCTCTACAGATGCGATCCCATGCTCCGTAGTAGCCAGGAGGAGCCGGGCCAAGTAGTTCAGTGGAGGCGCAGTCTGGTCCTTACCAATTGCTGGTTTGATTGTTTCAACCCTATACTTAGTATAACGTAGGGAAAACCGCTGCAGATTTAATTGTAGAACTAGGAATATTCAGACTAGGACTAAAAGGTTGGTTCTGCAGGAATACCCTATGTTTTTTGTGTGTCCTTACCTCATTGACTGCAATTTTGTCCTTTTCTCGTGCGGTATATAAGGCATTTCTTAGGATCATTTTAGATTTTGTGTTTTTCAACAAGGTGCAGGTACCAGTGCTGAGGATGTCCAGTACATACAGTTAGGGGAGGCTTTTCTCACTGTACAACAAAGAAAAAATGCTTTTTTCTTTGGACCACTACAGTGCAGCTCAAATGAAAGCCCTTTTCATGGTTGGTGTTGCACGTGTGCACTTAGCAATCTAAGCATATCATTCCTAGAAGGTCTAAGCATTTCCTTAATTTGCAGAAAAAGTGAGGTAATTATTCCGAATTATACAAAACTATTAATATGAGAAATTAAAAACAGGTATATTGAATACGAGTTGTTTAAACCTCCTTTCATTTAAAATAAATACAATCATACTGAGCTGCGCTCTCTGCCCAGTGTGATACATGGTGCCCAGATAACTGAAGTAACTTAACAGAAGCTGTATGAAGGGCAGTATTTTCTCAGTTGGCAAACTTAAATTTCTGTAATCATGTATTAGTACCACACCTTTAACCTTCCTGCTAAATATTAATGTTTCATATGTTTTACTTGATTCCATTTTTCATTCTTTGCTGTGCAATCTCTGATTTTTTTTTTTTAATTTTTTTTTTATTGCTGACTGTTATTTTAACTTTGGCTGTTCATGTGGCTTTACAAACTGTCTTGTAGATCTTTAGATTTGAAAGATACAACAGCAGTCACATATGGAGCCTAGCCTTTAGTTGTCATAGCAGATAGCAAAACTAAATGGAAATGAAGCGAATTACATCTAGGTCTAGATTTCTAGCAAAATTGGACCTTGTTGTAAATAGTTGGAAGCTGAAACTGTTCAAAATATTTCATGTGTATTTATGACTTTATTTACTTTTGTTGGAAAAGCATGTATTTAGTATAAACCAACAAATATAAAAGAAATGAAAAATGTTACACCAGTTGGCTGTGTGATCTGGGGTTGAGAGTTTGTCTCCCGGTGAAAATTTCACCACCATTCTAGATCTTAGTTTTACAGGTTGATATGAAATGTACAGGACGATGCCTGTATTGGATCATTTTGTTTTCATTTCTGATTATGTTATTAGTCATTTCCTAATAAGGAACTGAATTGTGCGAACAAATGATTTGATAAAGTCTTTCTTGTTTTTATTAAAAAGTATAGCTGAACTACTGGAATTTTACTGTACCTGAAAAAATACCTTTACGTTTTTAATTAGTGCTTTTTAAATTGCCCTGTGAAGTGTCTGCCTTCAAAATAAGTTTTCTACCAAAGCAGGCACTATTCTTATTAGAAAATGACTTTGTCAGCATTGACCTATCAAATGAAATACAGGCTGTTTTTTTTCATTTTTAAGCCTTTCTGCAATACTAGTCAAGAAAATTAATATGGTCTTGCAGAAATAGCAAGAGCGTAGTTTGACATAGTTTCATTATTTTTCCCAATCATAATGTTCTTTCCCTTCAATAGCTTTATTTATAGACTCTTATTAGACTCAACATGTTAAATCTTCCAAATATGGAATTACTGCTCGATTTGATAAATGAAGGACTAGATTCTTCCCTGTTTGCTGATGCCTATTCAGAGCAGAGCTGTAGCAATCAATGAACTGACACCAGCTTAAAGCTCAGTGTGGAGCCTAGTGTTAAGACTGTTACTGATTTTAAGGAGACTAAGGTCAGATTGGAGCATGGTTTTTAACTTTACTTTTGCGGATACCAGAACTATGTTTCGAACTAAAAAAATAGCTTTTGTTTATTGTCCTTTCATGTTTTGTTAATTGGTGGCTTCTTGCTGTATGTATGGGCCCTACCCTAATTTATGAATACTGAATGGGTCTGATAAATTATTTCTGGTTTTGTGGTTATAGGCATTTGTTTTCTTTTTATAGGTACGTTTATCATAGCTCCAAGTGGATGGTGGCTGGCAATGCTGACTCCCCGGTACCGCCTCGTGTTTACATTCACCCCGATTCACCCGCCTCCGGCGAGACATGGATGAGACAAGTGATCAGCTTCGACAAACTAAAGCTTACCAATAACGAGCTGGACGATCAAGGGCATGTGAGTACTCGCTCTTCTGTGGTGTTATATGTAGGCACATTGCTCAGCCCTGAAAGACTGACGTACAGCTTCAGGGTGCCAGAAATAGGCTTGACTTTTCAAAGCTGTTTTGGAACTTTACTGTCCAGATCTAAAATCTGCTTACTTTCTGCTCCGATAATTAACTGCTTATTAGAGCCTGCTGTTTTACTCCCCCCTCAAAAACAGAACTCCTTCTGCAAAGTAAGAGTTTACAAGGCAAAATTGCCTAATACGAAGGGGCAGAATTGCTCTCATGTTTTCCCACCGAGTGTGTTACTCGCAACTTCTGCTCTGATCAAAAACGACGCGTAAATTCACAAGTGGCTAGAAGAAACATTAATAGTGTGTAATAACTTCATGTGAATAAAAATACACTTAACTATTTTCTTAACCTAAACATTTGTGTGAAATCCCATGAGGTGTTAATAATTGCAGTCAAAAACGAACAACATGGGAGCTGGGTTTGCTCCGATAATGATTTATTACATACCTTATGAAGCAAGACCCTTTCACAGCTGAGGCTCATTACTTCTGAAATAACTGGCGAAGACGTATGCAGTATGAGTGTTCTGTTTGCAAGTTCTAAATTGTTTAGTTATGACATTATCTAATGTGACAAAATGTGTTATGTTAATATTTCCTTTTCTCTTCAAAACTGTTGAAACATGACAGATGTAAGCCAGTATCTTCCCAGCAATCCCTGAAATAGTTTTACTTGACACCTGAGGAAATAATTAAAAAATGAGAATTGTTTTTAGTCAGGGTGAAGTCTTTAATTTTGCAAGATCCCGTAATAAATGGCGAATGTTGGCTTTCTTTCAGAAGGAGCATTGAGTTCCAAGTGGTAGAGTTTTAAGATGTTAGAGACAAGTTTTGAGACAGGATGTGGATTCCATTGTCCTTGGCGTAGCCCAATTTATTAAGCAGGATACTTTCTCCTTCACGAAAGGGAGTGAAAGAAAACGTACCTGGCACAGAGTACAAAGATACTACATGTATCTTTCAGTATAGTTGTAACTCTGTGACATTAAGCCAGGTATTTTGTCAATACATAGTCCATGTTTATAAGCTTTTTTTTCTCCCTGTTTGTGTTTGCAAAGGAGATTAACTCGAGACTCTGGTCAAATCGTGCAGGAGCTACAACTTCTGTGTTACAGAGGCAGGAATACAGGAGACTGGCTGGACTGAGCTAGCAAATGTGATAACAAGGATAAAAAGCCTCCCTTTCATATCATACTGTTCATAATTTTGTCGCACTCTTCTTTAAAAGGAACGTGGAGGCATTTATATCTCTTCAGTTAGCAGTGGTTTTGTTAAGGATTGTAAGAAAGACGTTTTACATTGCTGCTTTCCGGCATTACAGTTATGGGGTCTCATTTGGGAGTGTTTATTTGAGTAAAGCTTAGGACAGGTAGTTCCCTTAGTTTCCCTGGCATTCGTGTATTTGCGACTCTTCTTGAGTGGGAGTTGCTCCCTCTGAGTCCTGAGTCTATTGTAAGGGCTTTAAAAAATGAAGCGGATCCGAATGGGTAAAATGTCGCTTTTCCACTGGAGAGCAGGCCGGCTGGTTTTTGTACTCAGTCGTTTCAGAGGGGCGATACATGGGTACTGCAGTCCACCCATGCACTTGCAGTCGCAAACTGCCCTGTGATAAAATCTCAGCTATGTAAAGAATTGTATTTTTCCATCCCAGATCTTAGCTTTGTTTTCATTCTGAACTGAAACCTGTGTAGTGTACACAGCACACCATTATTCATAATATGGGGGGATATAAATTTTCTGGTCTTTAGTTAAGTGTTTCGATTTGGAAACTAGTGAAGCAAAGCCTTAGTACAGTGATTTGAGACACATTGAACTGATTCCGAGCTACGGCAGTGCCCCTCCTCCCCAAAATGGAAATTTAAGTATTAAAATAAAAGGACAAAAGAAAGATGACTGTAAAATAATTTCATATTTCTCAAATCTGGGAAATTGCAAACATGTCATTCATAATTACCAGAAAAGGCAAAAGCAGAAAGCAGAAAAGTGTCTCTTCCAATGGGTACATTTTTTTCTTTTAAAGCTATGGTAGTGTGGAATGCTGTATTGAAAAAGCTATGTAGCCTCTGAATGCCTCCAGCAATAATGGAAAATGCATAATCATATTTTGTGATGAATATAAAAAACAATTGTTTCACATAAGCAGGAAGGAACCGTTTTTCTCAAAAGGGTACCAGGGGAAGGATGGGAGATTAGAAGAGCTAGGGGTCAAGGCTCTACTGTCCCTTGAATATTTGTTTTTACATCAAGTGTTCTGACTCTCCCACCCCTGTATGGAAGATGGGGTATACTTTAGATTATTAGAAAATTGTGGTGTGGGTTTTTTTTTTTATTTTGCCCCTCCCACTTAGGCAGAATGGCTGAGAGAGACCTTGGTGGGGTCTCTGTGCTCTGCCATCATTCCTCCAGTAGTTGAAGCAGTGTCGGGCTTTACCTGTTGTTCTTTGGGTGTGCTTTCCATGCTGTCTAGTTCTGGGGCTTTAATCCTTATTGAAATAGTTCCTTTATTCTTCCTGTGCTCCTCAGAGGTCCCGGCTTTTGCAGAGTTTTTGTGTAAAATCCCAGGGCTGGGTTTTGATCTTGCAGGTGTTGAGGTAGGGAGCTCACATAAGATCAACCCAGAGCCCTTTTACCTATTCCAGAGTATTAACTCTCAGAATCGGTGAAAGAAGTGACCCAGGTCCATGGGAATGGGGACAATATTTGCCAACAGACTCTAAGGTAGCATTCCTGTGCAATATTTGTATTGTCATAGTAGCTCATGGCAGCCAGCTCCCCTTGCACTGCGTTGGCCTGGGATTAGCTTCTTGTGAAAGGAGATCAGCCATCTCTAAGACGACTTGCTTCGCTGCTCGAATGCTTTCCGGGCTCCTTGCTGCCTGCTGCTATTTTCATCAGTATTTTGAGGGGGAGTTTGTGACGACGTAACTTTATAGCACTGTTCTGCGGAGAGATTTTGAAGTACATCTGCACGTAGGATGCTCTCTGATACATGGGTTCCACTCAAAGGCTGAGGAGATCAAGCAAAATTTGTAAGGATATGTTTTCCTTGTGTGGTTTTGATCTCAAAAGGGAGTCCCAGGGTGAATTCCGTACTTTGGAAAGATTGTGTGCTTATAGAGGCATTAAGGCTCGATGGCATCATCAAGACACATACTGTGGCATTTGTGGCATTTCATCTGAGTCGTGATAGCAAAGAAAAGTAAACCTGCATTTTGCAGTTGATGCTGAGAAGTGCGTGGTCTGGGTGCTCTTTGTTAATACCTCGCATCCCTCTCTCATCTGTGGAGTAAGTGCCGTATTGTAAAAGCAATCTTTCCCTCTGGCTGGTTAGAGCTGCCTGATTTTTCTATTTTGATGTAGTTTTTAATCTGAATTTCAGTAGAGGGGAAGAGTCAATATTTTTGATGCTATTTTCCATGCTTTTAAACTGAGTATTTTTTGATGCAGAGGAACATCTTTTAGTGAAAATGAGGCATCCATAAGGCACTCCCTGAGCAAATTAATTGGAGCCTGTGATGTCGTTGTCAAAACCTTACTTACAGGCTAATAAAACCCCTGATTATCCAGAAACTTGGCTTATCCAAAATGGGGTCATGTCATCTGGCCGGGACCAAGTGTATTAAACTAGCCAAACTCTAGTTTATCCAAATGAATGTAATGTCCTCTATGTCATTTGAGTGAATGAACTTCCACGGTGTCTGGCATAGGGGCTCTGTCAAGTGCCTGAGCACATGCAGATTCTGAGGCTACTCAAGGAGCAGGAAATTAAAAAGCTCCCCCTGAATGTTGATTAGTGGTTCCACAGGCCAATAGCCATAGGACTATTTATTTATTGAGTTACTAATTTCGTAGACCTTCCAACAATAATAATTGAGCTTCCAATTACTTTTTTTTTTCTTGAAATCTTCTATTTTAGTAGTGGTTAGTTGAAGTAGAGTAAAATAGAGGAAAAATTCTGTATTTTAAATCGCCTCTAAAAATTTGTGAGCAATACCAAGAGGTATTTTTGTGTTTAACTTTATGCACTGTGAGTTCATATACTTCTCATTTATCATTTATTCTTAATTGAGTTTTTGTATGCTGGGAGGGGTTCGTGTATTGTTATTCATTGTATTATAAATCTAGGATTATTAACACTTTAGAGTTTTGGATTTGTGTATTATTTTACTCTAAATTTTTGCTCCTTCAGAGTGTGAGAGTCTCAGCTTGTGTTCAAAACAGGATATATTTCCAGCCTTTGGGATATCAGGAAAAAAAATGCTCTAAGTATATCCCAAAGGTTCCAAAAACAAAAGGCAAATGCTGTTGCTGTTAATCCTGTTAGATCAAATCCAGACTCCAATGGAAAAAAGTGACAAAACTTCCCTAATTCCAGTGGGACCAGGACTTCACTCCTGATTTTTTTTTTTTTTTTTTTTTTTTTTTTTTTGAGCCAGTCTCTGAATTTGGAGCTCCTGAGTCGTAATTTTTAAATGCTCAGGGTTGGCAATAACATAAATGCACAGGGATTAGACTACTGTAATAAGAACCTTCAGAGGTTAAAGAAAACATTTGATTTCCAGTAAGTGGCATGGTAAACACATACCATAATCTGTTCCAAAAAGCTATTAGTCCTGAAACAGCAGGGTGTCCTTTCTAATAAATGTTATCTTTTTTCCTTTCATGACTGCATAGATTATCCTTCACTCTATGCATAAATATCAGCCTCGTGTCCATGTCATCCGAAAAGACTGTGGAGATGATCTGTCCCCTGTCAAGCCTATCCCTTCAGGAGAAGGGGTGAAAGCCTTCTCCTTTCCAGAGACAGTTTTCACTACTGTCACAGCGTACCAAAATCAACAGGTAACTTGAGCTTTCTGCTTAGCACTTTACAGGCTTTTCAGAGTAGACCAGGGAAGTAAGAGATAGGAGAAAAGTGGAAACTTTTATTATACCACTTATTAAAAAGCATTTTCTAAACCCTTTTCCTATTACAAGTAGCTTTAACTAGTAGTATTGCAGCAGCGCCTGGAGGCTATAGCTGAGACTTCAGGCCATGTGGGCTAGATGCTGCATGTAAAAAGTCATTCTTATTATGGAGATCACACAGTCTAATGAGCATAGTTAATGATGACTTAATTATAAATACAGCATTGAAGCATAAGGCAAAGAGCAGTCTAATTTTTAAGGGTGTTTTTGTACCTTTAAGTGCAGATACCTGTCTGGATAGAATTTTTTAAAGCACTTTTGTTCCTGACACCAGTGATTTCAAAACTCCCAAAACAGAGAAGCCAAGGTCTGAAGAAAGTTGCAGTTGTTTTCATTTACTACCTTCAGTGTATATTACTAACTGCAATTTGTCTGGGTCCACACAGATTCAAAGTCAAAAATAAACTACAGGTTGCCTGACTCCGGTGTTTGGCTCTTATTACCACTTGTTTAAGTATTAACATACATAGTGACACCATAGTTAGTGTTGTGACATTTTATTAATTCCACATAAGTTATTGCAGCTATATTTTGGGAAACTATATATACCTTGCTATCTTTACAAAGAGAAGAGCAGGAGAGCCATGTAAATACAGAAATATAATTATTTGGTGCCTATCCCATTTATTTAAATAAATTACAAGTATTTGTGAGGGTTGCTGGGGTGTTTTTTATGGAGGATAATAGCCTAGAGATAATCTCTTTTCACATTTCCTTCTTGACCCGTACAGAAATAAAATTTAATTCAAATTTTATTGCAGTTAGACAGTGTACTCTCTTAGGTGAAGAATGACATTTGCCAGAAGATTTTTCTCAAGAATTCCAACCTGCCATTTGGTAGCATTAAATACCTATTAGCTTCTCTGGGGATTTGCAAAAATAATGATCGGAAGGCTGGCCCTTATTTTGCTGTGTTTCAGGACAACCATCTTAAACCATGCAAATGTGAAGATGTTTCTACTCCACTGTCGGCTTAATTCTGTCAGGATAATGATTTTGTGTGTTACTTAGCTGAATTTGTAGGTAATAATTTCTCTAATCATGTTCACAGATCACTCGTCTGAAGATTGATAGGAATCCCTTCGCCAAAGGGTTTCGGGATTCGGGACGTAACAGGTAGGTGTTGGAGAAGGAGGTGGGCTTGTTACTGCTGACAGAATCGGTTTGTGAAGGCTGGTCGAGGGGAATACCTGTATTAACAGATAAATTAGTCTGAGGACTTGGACTCCTTGGGGGAGCACTTAGGTTTCCCAGTAACATTCTCTGTGGTGGGCTCCCATTCCTACTCCTCTGACCATCTAGGTCAAGAACGGGTTGGTACTCGGCTTGACTCATGTACTCAAGTTTCCTTTCGGTGGAAGTGGTGACATACTGTGAAGGCTGCAAATGGAATTAGCGCATACTCAGATCTTTGATTTCAAGCTGTTCCTGAAATCTCCTCTTCTGGCTGGAGACACAAACTGTGGATACCAGTGTCAAACTGTAAGCCCAGGTTCTCTTGCATGTAAGTGGCATTTAGTATGGATGAAAGGCTCGTTGTTTTCTCTTAAAGGGAGAAACTAAGTCGCCTCGTGCAGTAACCTTATGTTTAGTACACTTGCCTAGGAGGTGGGAGACCTGTGTTCAAGTGTCTCTTTAGCCTAAGGAGTTTTAAATCCACTTCCTAGGTGAATGCCTTTTCCTACTAGGCTGTAGATGACCTTGAAACGAGCCTGGTTTCCATGTCCTCTGTTGTGGTTGGACTGATTAATTGCTTGTTCTCTCTTGATCCATGAAACTTTCAAAATAGCAATGGGGAATCTGAGTAGTGCAAAGTGGAGACTTGGGTCTAGTCCCTGCTGCCAGTACTGATGAGTTATTTTATCCAAACACTGTTTAATGCAAAATACTTAAGCCTGTTATGAACTGTATGTTAAACTATTTCAGCTAGAAAAAAGGCAGCATTTAATTGTGGTACATATGGTACATCAGTTCCAGTGAGCACATTGCATTTGGTGTCTACAGCTGCTATATTTATGACCTAGCCTTGCAGAGAAGGGAGCAAATTCTGTGCTGGTAGGAATGCTCAGAGAGTATCTTTTGGTAGCTGCTTTGTTGAGCTGCTCTTTTAGCAGAGGCTACAGCATTAAAGCCTGTTTTCTGCTTCCACCTGAGTTACATAAATGCTGAGACTGGACAGCAAACGAGTATTTTTTTAGAAGAGGAACAGTTATAGAAAGGGTGGGGTAGCTGTAAAGATTTACAGGAACCCACTGTAAGTATCTTTTAAGTTTGCACTCTGCATTTATTGCTCTCTAAGATTTTTGTCTTCTAGCAAGAAACATGCTCTCAGTTGGCCATGCTCTGTATTAGGGCCTGGAAAGGATCTCCCAGGCACCAGCATAAACGGAGATTTATCCTCCTTTGTAGCCTTCTGGTTTGAAATTAAGTGAACAGTAACTTCCAGATAAATACAGTGACTAAAGAAGCAAAACATGTTGTGTGTACTTGGGGAAGAAAAGAGTTGCCATACGTGCCCTATTTGACAGCTCTCTGTAGGCGGTGTCTCTACTACGCGTGCTTTTTGCAGAGCTATAAAATAAATACTAAGGAGCCTCCTAAGCAGTGTGAAACCCTGACTCTGAAATTTCTGAGTTTAAGTGGAGTTAGAATTTCTTCCATAAAGTTCTATGAAACAAGAGAAGATGCCCTTGAAAACAGAGAGGAAAGAATCATTCAGAAACCAGTTTTCAACTGGATTTAACGTGGCGGGACAGCCGTGGTATTACCCAAGGATGATGTAGGTGCAGAAAGAGTCCTGCATCTGCAACCATGCAAATCCAGTTGTAGGACTGGGGATATCCAGAGAGGTTTGGGTTTTTTTTTTGTTTGGCTGCTAGGAGTAAGTTTGGTCTGGGCAGTAGAAAAAAAGCAGGATATTTTAATTGCAAGACAGTTATAGTTTATGGAAATGGATTAGGAGGCCAGTCCTGTAGGAAGGGCCAGCCTCTATAAATGTTTCGGAGCTGGCTTTAGACAAGATCTGAATGCTTTTACTGTAGCAACCACACTCGTTACAGAAGTGACTCTGCAAACTCTTGTCCGTTGCAAATTGACATTGATTTACTGAAGTCAGTATTGCTGTGTTCTTTAATAGGCTCTGTGGTACTGAATAAGCGTGTTTGGGAATCCAGCTCAGATTTTTAATTGTCGAGGAAAGTTTCCTTTTTAATTTAAATTACTAGTCCACTCAGTTGATTATTATTTTACTCTGCTGCTAAACATTGAAATTAAATGTTAAGTTTTGGTTATCTTCATTGTTCTAGCTGGTATACTTATCACCTAGGCACTTTAATCTCCAACAAAAGCGTAAAAAAATACTGTGGTATCATTATATCCAACTTTTCAGTGTTGCTTTAATTACTGCAGCTATCTTACTCTGTACTGCTGCATGCAGTAATTCTGTTTAATTAAAAATAGTCCCTTTCAGGTCATTCTTGTTCAGTCCCGCAGGCTGTTTTACAGAAATCAGTAGCTTCACCTTTTAAAAGCATTCCCTGTGCATTTGCAAAGTGCAACAGAATTTATGTGCTGAGAATAGTTTCATTCTTCAGTTAGGCCTTAAGTTTGACCCTATAAAAACTTTTACTCAGGAAAGGACCAGAATTTCTCCCTTTAAATACTTCAGGAAAAACATAACTGTTTTGTTAAATAAACTTAGCCATTTGATAGCGTAAATTAGGGTGGTGATAAAATGTGGAAATTGTTCGAAGGCATCTTGTATAAATTATCACCTTGGCTACACTCCTCCAGGAGGTGGCTTTTATCTCTGCTTTAACTAGAAATGAAAATTCACCGTTGCTGCAGAAAATGAAGGCTATCTTTTTAGTCCAGGTTCAGCTAATAAATACTTTATAACTGTTTCCTGAAATACATTTGTGATCCTGCTGGAAATGCAATGGGGAAGAAGCAGTATCAGAAGAACACGTTGGTAGCTTCAAATTGGGCTGTTTGCATAATTCAAGTTTACAGAGTGCTCCTGCTCAAAGGCAAGCACTTGTATTTAGTGTGTGCCTGATGCTGACACTTAACAGGCCTTTGGGGCCCAGCAGCCAAAAATAACAGCAAAATGATACCTCTGAGGTGCGTTATTCATAAAATTCTATCAGAAAACAAAGGACCCTTTACCTTCAGGAAATAGGGATTCTTCTAGATATTGTCTGCCATGACTGTCTACCCAGTTATTTCTGTTTTGTCATGACACTTTAAAGAAAATGATTGCCTTTAGAAACTGAGAAATCCTCATTTTGCTCAGCACATAATAACCAAGACACAACATTGCTTTATGCATTTTAGTAGCCAAAAAGCTGTATACCCAGGGCTTTCTCATGTTGCACACGTGAGTTTCCAACTCATTGGTAAGGACTGGAAATCCTGTTTTAATAGAAGGTGTCAGTGGATCACCTTTGTTCTAGGCAGAATAGGAGATTGTCCCTCTGGCAGTTAGAGCATGACTTTTAAGGAAATGTCATACTAGGAAAAAACACGTAATGTCATTTTAACCAAGTTGTCGTCATCCTGCCCCCCCAAAAAAAGCCAAAAGCCAAAACTGACATAGAGAGCCAGATTGTGGAAATGGGAAACTCTTTGCATGCTGCCAGCCCAGTGACTGCAGATCTCAGCGATATCATGGATTAAGATGTAGGGCTCTTTTTAGAAAAGCAAAATGAAACTCAAAATAATCCTGAAATTTACTAATTATTATATGCTTCTGAGGTAAACCATGCAGAGAAATGTGACAAAATACAGCTTGCTTTCATGATGCTGTGATGTTTTTGTTCTAAATAGAATGGGACTGGAAGCTCTGGTAGAGTCTTACGCCTTCTGGAGACCTTCACTGAGGACACTTACATTTGAAGATATACCTGGGATACCCAAACAAGGTAATGGTCGTCTTTGTGTTCTTTCAAAACAAAAATGCATGAAGATAAAGCTTTGCCTGTCATTCTTTACAAAAATCTAGATGAATGTGTCACCTGCAGAGAAAAAGCAACCAACCAACCCCAGTGCAGGCCATCACCTCTCATCAGAGCTATTCTAAGTTAGAAAACTAATGCTAACTGAACCACCGTGGCAGTAAAAATGTTAGGTTGTAAAGATAAATTGGATCACATGTGGAAGATGACAGTTATTTAAAGATGGAATAACCTCTTCCTTAGTGTTATGGTCTGGCTAGATACACAAGGCAGAGTATTGACTTCTGTTGTACACATCCAGAGTCCAATATAGGAATTACTTGTGTGTTTAAGAGGGAAAAAAAAAGGAATGGGAGAAGAAATGTCCTCTAAGTAATGAATCAATAGTGGCGAACTTAATTGGGTTTCCTCCTTGGAAAGCCTCCTTGATTCTTAAAGACCTAAAAATTGTTCAGTAAAAGTCCCAACAAACTTTATCTGCATCCTAGAGCTTGAAAAAATGGACTTCCTCTCCATTTTGTTTCTTCCTGCTCCTGAGTCCGTAACCTCTTGGCTCCCACTTTCCCCGTTGTAGAGGTAGTGCTGTGGGGGAGGGAGGGGTATTTAAATGGCCTGTTTGGACAGAGAGGGGAGTTTCTGTACTCTTTTTCTGAGTTCCTTTGTTTCCAAAGTACCCCAAGGCCTATAGAAAACTTCTCAGATGTTTCCCAACTAAATCAGACATATTGCTCTTGATTCTTCGCATTTCCTGCTACCAAATTTACAGACATCCTTCCTGCCTTCTTGATAATGTATTCCAAAGCCATTAAGCATCTTCAGAGCAGAAACCCAGAAAACATGGAAATATACAGAAATTGCTTTTGTCGACTTCTCCTTAGCCCACTCCTTTGAGAAATCTTGAGCATCTGTGCCTGATGTGTGTGATTAAGAAGGAGTTTTTGTGCCAAGTCACAGATACGTTGGATGAGGGTTGGCAGAGTTTTGGGTGGAGGATGGGGGGACTGTCCTCATAAAAAAAGCCTGTGATGAAAAACCAGCATCAGACCTGAAATACCTTGTTAGACTGTGTAAGACTGAAAGGCAACTCACTATGAAGTTAAAACATCTAGGAGACAGGCCAGCTGTATTGCCCTGTGTGTATATAGCAGCACTGTTTGAAAGCAGGGGAACTGCTGCCATGAACTTCCCCCTTCCTGTTGCAGGTTAAGGAGCTTGTTGAAATTACTGTGGATGTTCACAGAATGGGAACTGGGATCCTTGCAAAATCTTTAGTTGACTGTACCTTGGCCAGTAGGGTGGTTTAGAGACTTACTGAAAGACCCCATTAGAAATGTGTCCTAGTTGTTAATGCTGGAAGCGCCCACCTTCGGATAGCGGACGCATTGACATAGATTAGAAGAAAAATAAGGATGCCTTATGCTAGGATTTCTTTAATGTGGCAGTGTCTCATGGTGCTTTTTGCATGTTGTGGCCTGTCAGCAGAGCAAGAAGAAGCAGGCAGAGTTCACTGATAATGTATTTTTCTTTTTAGTAGCTCACCTATCGTGAAAACCTATTAGCTTATTGACAGTGTGTATCTCTGCGGCATCAAGCTGTTTGATAGTTAGTGTGATTCGCAAACAGGAGAGGCTTCTGTTTTCAGTGCCTTCCACCTGAGAGACTGTGAAAGGCCCAAATCAATTTCTCTACGCTCATTTTTGGGGGAGATACAATCTCTAAGAAAAGGAAGTGTTTCTTACATCTGGGAAACTTTCAGTCCTGAGAAAAGGCTTCACCTGTAGAAAGCAGGGCATTTTCAGGAGCATTCAGCACTGGTATTTGTCATGTAAGAAGTTCTGATGTCAGTAAATGAAGTCTGTGAACAGTTTGCTGCAAACATAAGCCTCCACCTACCCGTTCAAGAAATGAAGCAGCTGCGCACAGTACTTGGCCTACATTTTTCCTGAAGTTGTTCTGAAGTCTTGTTCTCAAGCATTTTGGTTTGAAGTTGGAAGTTCTTTGTTCTGAAGTTGTGAACTTTCCTGAAGCTATAGAACTGTGTGAGCCTCTGTCATTTGAGCTAAGGAGCCAGTTCCTTAGGTGGTGCTCTGACAGTGAGTCAGGCACAGAAGGCTTGAAACGCACTCGGGTGTAGCAACAGCATAGACAATACAAAATTCGTAACTTTGAAGAAGGCCTCCTGTGATGTGGTACTCGCCTGGCTACATGTTAGCTGCCATGCAGCTTGTTTCCCATGTCAAACAAAGAGCAGTTAACTTTTTGGGCAGGAGCAGTAAGTGTTGAGTAATGGTTGCAAAAGCATAACTTACGTTCTCTTTCTTGGACAGGTTGTTTCTTTAAAAATAGGTGTGTGCCACACATACACCCCCTGCACATGTATGTACATGCCATTTTTTGTATGAATTTGCGTTGTGTTTCATGTCAAGGGTTATTATAAAAGACACAAGTCTTGATCTGTCACCTAGAAGCGAACCTTTGCCAACATGCTTCTTACACTGTAATATTCTCTTGCAGGAAATGCAGGTTCCTCTACTTTACTCCAGGGATCTGGCAGTGGAGTGCCATCTACCCACCCTCACCTTTTACCGGGTTCCCCTTGCTCATCTCCAGCCTTCCACCTCAGTCCCAACACTAGCCAGCTCTGTAGCCTTGCTCCAGCTGACTACACAGCTTGTGCCCGCTCAGGCTTGACCCTGAACAGATACAGCACCTCTTTGGCTGAAACCTACAACAGGCTCACAAACCAAACCAGTGAGACGTTTGCACCCCCGAGGACTCCCTCCTATGTCGGTGTGTCGAGTAGCACAACTGTGAATATGTCTATGAGTGGCAATGATGGGGATGCATTCAGCTGCCCACAGACTGGCTTATCTATGCAGATTTCAGGGATGTCTCCGCAGCTCCAGTACATCATGCCATCCCCATCCAGCAATGCCTTTACCACTAATCAAACCCACCAAGGCTCCTACAACACGTTTAGACTGCACAGTCCCTGTGCGCTCTATGGATATAACTTTTCCACATCCCCTAAACTGGCTGCCAGTCCTGAGAAAATCGTTTCTTCCCAAGGAAGTTTCTTGGGGTCCTCGCCAAGTGGAACCATGACGGATCGGCAGATGTTGCCCCCCGTGGAAGGAGTGCACTTACTTAGCAGTGGGGGGCAGCAGAATTTCTTTGACTCTAGGACCCTAGGAAGCTTAACACTCTCGTCTTCTCAAGTGTCTGCACATATGGTTTGATGAAGCCTTTAAGTAAAAGTACAGTATGTTTGGTGTCTACAATGTATTTCTTTTGGAATATGAAAGGACACTCGATGTAGCTTGTAAAGTGTGTGTATATATAATATGAGAGGAAGTTTCACTGAATTTTTGACTTGCTTGTGGCCAGATTATTCTCCTATTTTGAGCTACGTGGAGTTTGTTGCGGCACAGACTGCTTTAGTTTTCTGGTATAGTACACTTAGTTGTATAACACGTTGGGACATATGCAACAAATTAAGTAAGACTTCCTCCCCTTTCCCCCTCCTCTGTTCTAACCCCTTTAAAGAATGAAATGACACTTGGAGTATTAAACAACACAAACAAGCCCACTTACATTTCCTATAGTACTAGTGAGTTTCTTTAAAACATTAATACAATGATAAGCTGATGCACCAAAGGCATTTTACAAGTTTCTTCTCTGTTATAAGGGATATGAAGGGTATTTGGACTTTTAAGTGTTAAGCATCAAGCATCCAGCCTGAAATAGAAGTTTAGGTAATGGATTATTTACAAAGTAAGTGGAAAGATTAGTTTGCCTTATCATGATATGCTGGTTTTAGCTTATCAATGGCACAGCATTCTTACTAGAATTTTTTTTTTTTCAGCATTAGTCTAGATTTATGTTTAGGTATTTGAAGACAGATAATGCATATTCAAATTGTGGTGATAGGAGTAATTTAAATCAACAGCAGAAGAAGCAGCATTTCTTGGTACAGCATGAACTTTGGGGTGCTTCATTTTTGTCAAAGGAAGGGCTTGATGCATTTTTTCCTCCATAAATATTGCCTATAAGACATTTACTGGACAGTAGGATATTCTAATGTATCTTTGTTTTTGTATTTTTACTTTTTTAAAGGAAAATGCAGGTTTGATTTAGGAAAAAAAAAGTGAGCAGGATGAGAAATTTCATTATTGGTTTTACCCTTGTGTGTGTGTTGTGTTTTGGGTTTGTTTTTTGGATTTTTTTGTTTTTGTTTTTTTAATAAGGGCAAAAAGTCTTCCATCCTCAGTATCTCATAAATATATCTCCTGTAGTAATTAGGCAAATGATCCAGTTTGCCCGCAAGTGTTGTTGGAAGCAGAACTTTGTTGTATTTGCCTCCCTGTAACGTGGCCAAACTGGGACCAGGATTACAATAGGCAAAATTCCTTTAATAGTTTACTTTGAATGCTCCAGCATGACACTTACAGCCTATATACCTCCCTCCAGGGAGCCATCTGTCTTCCTCTTATTCCCTTCTGTGATGAGGTTACTGCTGCTCTGTTTCTCAATCAGTTTTTGCCCTGGAATTAGAGAGGTTCCCTTCCTTCCCAGCTCTGGTTTTAACTGGTGCTTGTAAGAATGCAGATCACAACCTACTCCTGACCAGTCTTCTCCAGAGTGAAAAGGACATGGGGAGACACGTGTCAAGGCGAAATTTCTGTCCTCATCTGCACCTGCACAGCCCCGGTGCGCATCGGTCCTCCTGCAAAAGCTGCCTCCCAGCTGCCCGCCTGTCAGAGCTGAACCACAGAGGCTGTAGAACAGATTTTAATGCTTGAGAGAATGGGTCGTCTTCAACAGTATGCTAAACATCTTTTATATTGTGCAGGTGATGTAAGGGCATTATAAAGTGGGTACAAATGTAGTTGAAAATACTTCCCTGGTCAGCGCTGAAGGAGAGTAAGGCCTTTCAGATTTTACGTTTATCTCTGTTAGATTTTTCAGTGGGATTGTTGTGTTTCTCAAGACTTCCTACGTCTTTTCTGGCAAACAGTGGGCTTAACTGCTCCCACCTCAAGAAAAACTCATTGCAGCTAGTATTTCTCCATTGGGTTGGAGATAATGCATGCAGAAACAGCCCTGTCACTATCTCTTCTTATTATTTGGGAATAGAAGAGAAACCACAGCAGTCTTTAAGCCTGTGCCTGGAGAAGGCTTTCTTTCTATCATACATATTTGTTTATGTTAAAGAACATGTGTAGAAAGTTCTCTTTCAAAGGTGGAAAGACAAGAGGATGAGCCTGCAGCTGAGGAGATGTGGGTTTGCTTCTTTGCTGTCACAAACTTCCCAAGTGACCTTGGGCAATTCACTCAGCCTTTCTATATCTAGGTTTTTTTTCTTCTGTAAAATGTGATAATAGCACTTCTCTGTCTCACAGTAAATGATGACAGTACATTAAAGATGATCATCTTTACATCTACTGTACTGTGGACAATACATTACAGATGAATGGCTAGGTGGTGTTCATATACGAGGATAACAAAGAGCATTCATGTACTTCAGGTCTGTCACTAGTTTTGGCATTGCAGTGTCCTTTGAGGCAGACCTCCTAGCAAAGACCTGCAATGCTAAAAACACTGTTCAAAAACCTCACGCTAAGAATTTGTGAAATGGTTTGAAGATGTGTAGAAGATGGGCAAATTTTCAGTTATGTAAATTGTCATAGCTCTATTGGTTTAAATTAACAAGAAACTTGTGTATAGTAATTCCTGCTCTAGCCAAAACTTTGAAATGTTGCAGTTAGACAAATCTTTAAATGGGAAGAATGATACAATTAATCTGTACTTGAAAAAGGTTAATTATCTATGTCATCTTAAGGGCTGTGACTAGGTAGAAATGTGGAAGAGCTAAATCATGCATGTTCCTACAAGGGGAAAGAAAAAAGGTTGTGCATGGCTGTTCATGGAGGTGCTCCTGGCAAGAGTATGTACTTTATTGTCTGGGAATTTTTTAGAACTGGTCTCTTATTTTTCCTCAAATTATTCTTCTCATATAACCACACAATATTGTTTGAAACATTTGTTCCTTAAAATTTGAATCATATTGTAAATACTTCCTGGTGTGTCATTGTGAAAAGACTTAGCTTTTTATCAATATAGTAAATGCTATATATGCATTATATCTATAATTATATATCTGTATTTTACAAAAATGCCACAGAAAATATATTAAAGTGTGTATTCAAACACTTTTTACTACATTTGAAAAATTGAGGGGCTTGGGCCTTTTTCTTTTTTTTTTTTTTTTTTTTTTTTTTTTTTCTTCCTTCTCTACAACTTCAGCAAGACCAAAGGAAGTGACTCTAAGGTAAGCTTTGAAATTCAAAGACTTAATACAACAAGCTGCAATGATCCAACTAGTCCACAATTCTTACATGGTTCAGTTTAGCCATATGCTGTTGAACTTCTCTGTTATTTTTATGCAAAGGTCACGACCGATGTTGGGTACAAGGAGATGCTGAGGCTGATTTAGAGCTCTGAGGTTTTCATGTGGGAAGAAGGGACTGAGCAGCTTGCCGGGCTTGTTAGCCAGTGCTGGAGCCTTGCTGGTTCCTCATAGCCCAGCTCATCCCAGCTGCCAAGACCAGTTCAGCTGCCCCCTATCAGCCAGATCTGGGAAGTTAGCACTTCCATGTGACCAGGTGCTTCAGCTGGAGGTCGGTACCCTGCATATTTTCTCTCTGTGCTTTTAACTTTGGTCACTCCCTCTCTGTTCTGCTTATTCTAAATGCAAGAATCCATTGATTCCTAAGGCACAATTTACAACCTATAACCAGCTGGGTATACTGTTACTCAGCAATGAGCAACATTTCTCCCCCCAGAAATACTGTTATGCGTAGTGGCCTTATTTCCTATTGTACTGCAATAAATGATTCCATGTGACATAGGGCACAGGGCCTGAAAATCTGATTGCTTTAGAGACTAGGGTTTCATAGTCACTTAACACCAGCATTGTTGCAAATGACCAGAATTAGGGCAAGAGAAGTAGGCATAAAATGCTTGATCATGAATATCAGGCCTCGAGAGAGAATGAAAGCTGCTGTTTTTAATAAGAGAAAAGCCTTTTTTGGAATAGCACAATCAGACTCAGAGGCTCATTTCTGTTTCAACAGAGGACAACAGGAGAAACTTTAAAATCACAGACAGTGTCAGCATTAATGCTAGCAAGTCTGTATTGTGAGCAGTTCAAGAGAAGGAACCTAAGTCATTATCAGAAGTAGCTCGCAGGTTCTGTAGGTACATTTTTCCTGTAAAGATAATACCTTTTATTAATACTGTGTAGAAGTGTGTTTAAAAAGTCTGAAGAGTAGCTACTTTCAGAGGTTTATGTACCAACTTCACGTATGAAATTACTATTTTGTTGCACTCTTCTGAATGCGCTGACTCCCATGACATTACTGTTCAAGTTTACTCTGAAATCCAAGTTTTAATATCAATAGCTGTAATTGATCATAATAAGGTAATGGTTAGTCTTTGTGGGCTGCCTTTTCACTTCCACTGACAAAATATGTTTTCCTTTGTGGCCTTTCTACACGTTGGAAGTAATGCCCAGATTGCAAGACAAGCGCTTGGGCTCCAGTTCTGCAGCAGGGAATGGCAGGAGAAGCGGAGATAGCACAAATGGACCCTGCAATCCCACCATGTGCTTTTGAAACATCACAGGTAGTGTGATGGCACCCACAATGTATAGTTCTATCCAAATGCATCTCAGTGCACCTCTCACAGGAGTCTGTAGCCTAAAATGAGAAGTGACATCAAAGGCTAGTCAAGAAGGATAAAGCATGATGTGAAAATACTTGTGCTACCCAAAAGCTGGGCTATTGCAGTGAATGTTAAGCGTAGCCCCAGCACAGACCTAACCTATGTCAGCACTGCAGCCACTTGGACTATGCTGTGCCTTTATGTTCATTTGCACACCACTGGGTTTTATTTGGAAGCTATAATATAGAGCCAAGAGTAAATTTAGAGCATATTGGAGGAAACCTGGACTCCACTGTGGCCAGTGGTAATGTTGCCACTGACTTGAGCTTTATGGATACCACATTTTCAGACCCTAAGCCATCCCTCTTTCTCTTGCTGTGTGCTTTACCCACACAGCAGCTGTAGGTATACTGTTTTCAGGGACGTTCTTCTGGCCCTCTGTGGTGTTTTTTGGGTGGATAACTGGCTTTTTGCATTTCACATGCTCCTATTTTGTTTTTAATTTTTTGCTTCTGAAGTTTTTGAGCCATAGTCTGTCTCACACCGAAAGATAAGACAAGCCTGGAACTTGGTGCTCCCTCCCCCAGAAGCCTTGCTGATGGATGGTGTATTCCC